ATCTCTGATCATGTAGGGTATATGTGCGTACGAATGCATGCGTATATATATACAGGGTGTCCGGTAACTAACGGACCAACGATTACAAATGGATTCTTTGGTCAATTTGGGAACGATTTTTCTTTAGCGAAAATGTCGAAAAAGGTCATCATTTTTTACAACTTTCCAATATTTGTCATTATGTATCTTTATAACTAAGCCTCAAGTTAAAATTTTATTAGAGTAAACTCTACCTGAAATTAACTGAAGAATGTAATTATGTTAGACTTTTAACTCCAAAACGTTTAGTTTTCAAAAAACCCATTTTTTTCAATCGCTTATAACTCGAAAATTATTGACTTCTCAACATTTTTGCTAAGGAAAAATCGTCTCCAAATTGGCCAGAGAATCCGTCCTTAATCATTGGTCCGTTAGTTACCGGACACCCTGTATATATATATATATATCTGGACAAGTGCATAAGAGGTGCATTTGTGCGCGTATGTACGAGTACACTTGCTACACTGTAATGCACTTCCTACAGTCTTGTAATGACACGAAGGATAGAAAATAGCCCTCTTTCACTCTATCAGCAACTACAGTAAGAACAAAGGAAAAGTATACGGAGGGCATCTCTAGGTACATAAGTATCCACATCCTCTACGTGGACTATGCATTCAAGCTAGAGAGCATTAACAATTTGTCCAATTAAAACGAAGAAATTTTAGTTTTCCCTTTTCTTGTTCTGACTAGTCAAATTGCAATCTTTAATATTTCTTTAATATTTAATATTTAATCTTCGATGCGTACCCATATATAGCACAAAATATTTTTAAAACCTTTGAAACATATTTCTTAAAAGATAAAATAATTCTCGAAAATATTTTTAAAAATATTTTATTATATTCTAATATTTAAAAAATTTTTTAAAAATATTTCTTAAAAGATAAAATAATTCTCGAAAATATTTTTAAAATGTTTCCATGTCCGCTTTTTCATGTTTAAAATATTTTTAGAAATATTTTGGAATATAGATTTAAATTAATATTTCAAAAATATGTATCAAATGTTTAAGGAAATAATATCTGAACAATAAAGAACATTTTTAAAAATATTTTTAAAAGTTTTTTTAAAATGTTATATCACAAAAATTTTTTTAATTATTTTAAAATATTCCTAAAACCATTTTAAAATATTTTTATGGAATATTTTATAGAAATATTTATAAATATTTTTAGAAAACATTCATAATATTTTGTGCTGTATGGGAGTCTAATATTTCAGGAAAAATTTTTAAAAAAAATTATTAATTGTAGGTTAATTCCGTATAAATCTATTAAAATGTATAAAAAATTATAGTTTATATAATGTATAAAAAATTATAGTATGTAAATGTGTATAAAAAATTGAATTTGTTTATTAAGAGAAAGAAATAAATAATGGAAAATAAAAGTATAGCAAAAGTGCAAATAAAACATAATATATTGTAAATAGCAAATTTCGAATTTATGGTTGTTTTAATTACGTCATGCTAGGATTAAAAAGATAAGAAGATTTGTTACTTAAGATATTCTTTATAACTTGTAACTTAACACCATTAATCATTACAATTACTTTTTCTTCTATAAATGTAATGATAACGATGTTACAAATTTATTTGTAACGAAAATAATAATTTTGCTGACGAATTTAACAGTTAAGTCTTATTATTATTTTTCAAAATTATTTAATTTAATTTTACAAAAAAATATGACTCAAAAGAAAAGTTAAATTGCAATATTATATAAAAATTGCTGAAAATTCTTTTTATTATCTCGTTTCTCTCTATTTTATAAGAAACATTTAGGTAGACAGATAATTTGATGATTAGTCAAGAATTTAAGATTATTAATGTATTGTGTCAGAATTTTAAAATTGCATAAAATTAGAAATGTGAAAAAGATTTTGACGATTTTGGCGAGTTTTTATGAGTACTATTAATTTTTAAAATTTTTATATTTTTATTATATTTTAATTTTACCTCACATTTTAATCTTTTGAAATTTGCTATTTATATTATATTATATTTTATTTACATTTCTGCTATACTTTTACTTTCCATTTTATTTCTTTCTCTTAATAAACAAATGCTATAATTTTGTGTATGTATTTTTTAAATCTACGGATATTTTTAAGAATTTATTTAATCACTATTCATTATAATCGATTAAATAATATTTTTTTACATAATATTATTTTATAAAATACGTTACTCTATTTTTATGTAGAAATGATTTATTACCCTATTCTCTTATAACACATTGTATCCATAAATGTTGATTAATGAAAAAAAAAAAAAACACTAGGAAGACTTTTTAAAATTTTATATTATTCGCTGACTATTTTTATATTATTTAAAAAATATATTATTTAAATATTATATTATTTAAAACATATTTAACAGATGTTTTACTATTTATAGAAGAAAATAATTTCGTTGATAATTATATCTCTGCAATAAATAAACCACGATTAAAGTGCAGCGTTTTGCTCGCATCTCTCTCTCTAAAAAAAAAACCACTATCGGCTGAAATGCAAATCGACGAAACTTGTCATAATTGATGGAACAATCGCAAGTTTCACTATTCTTATCTTTCCACGAGTCTCTAGATAATCGGTTTAAATGCGCTCCCACGCCCCGTGTCCGCCCATTTGTGTTTCCCTCTTACTTTGCACTCGGAAACAAACACCTACATCTTGATGATCATGATTGGCGATATCCATTCTATGCAATTTTTTTGCATTAATAAAACTCGACTCACATACAAGCTCCATAAGTCTTTACGTAACCAAGGGAGAAAGGAAGGAAGAGTCTAAGCACGAAGTTGAGAAATTTCTATTATTATTTTGACTTTTTTGCATTTTTGATGCAGCTTTAATAACCTTTATTACGATTGCAGTTATTTCGACCCTCGATTATTATAATGAAATTTGAATGGCGTATTATTTTGTTATATACATGTATTCATTAAAAATATATTTAATATATAATAAATAATAATAAATAATAGAATTGTGTATTATAAAATAGATGACAAGAGAATATATTAGCTTTATTATTTTCAGACCCTTCATGGTAAAAAATAATGGAACATGTGCATAAAATGGTAAATATATTAAAATATAGTAAATACAAATTATTAGAAAGAAATACAGATCTTTGTACAATAAAATTTAATTAAGAAATATCAGCCAGTCTAATTATAAGAAGTCTTCGAATAAAAGATTTATAAATTAAAATAAAATATCGAATACACTACTAAAAAAAAAGAAAAAAATAAGAAACAATTTTTCTATCCTAAAAATTATGGTATCTTTAAACTCGGCAAAAAATCATCGTAGTTTAACAGTTAAAACAGTTGATGTGTCAATTTTAACGTGCTGTCGATTTTACACAATTTTTTTTATTTTCTTTGTTCTGAAAAATATAGATTTAATTACAAAGTTGGTTAAAAAAATCGCTGAAAAATTTTAATTATAAAACTTGAGCAGAATTTTTCGAAAAAATTTTTTAATTGAGATTCAAAGTGTCAAAAATGCATAATTTTAAGAAACAAAGCAACGTATCTTTTTTTTAAAGCATAGAACAAAAAAATTAAAAAAAATTGTAAAAACCATCGATTTTGCATTAAAGTTGAAACTTTATATAAAATGCATTTTTAATTTTTAATCTACAATAATTTTTCGCTCAGTTTCAGCGATTTGAAAATAACATAATTTTTAGGATAGGAGAAATGTTCCTTTATTTTCTGTTAGTAGTGTATAAAACGAGAAAATATATATGGAATAAAGTTTATTCTCCAAGTAAGTCTCTTGGGAAAGCTAATTCATCTATTTCGATATTCAAAATCAATATAAAGCGAAGAAATTCGCTAAAACGAAAAATAAGACATTTTTAATTGCGTTTTGCAAATACGTTTCGAATATCGTTTGACAAGTTTTAAAGCGCATAAAATAAATGCAATAATTTCATGTCGCTGAAATGCAATGATGAGAAATATTTCTCTGCTGCAATAGCACTATCTGTTGGATCAATGCGATTAAATAGATGTACTGATCAGCATCCGAATGTATCATTGAATAATAGCTAGACATAGTTCAACTTAATTTGTTCAATAAGAATATTTCCTGAATTTTTATTATATATATTTTAATATATATAATTTATATATAAATATATAATATATAAATATAAATAATTAATATATAAATATTTATATATAAATATATTAATTATATATTAACAATTTTATATTATTTTAATAAGTTATACAAAGACTATATTATATAATTTTTAATTATTATATAAATTATATATTTCAAACTATATTTAATTTTAGTAATGAATATGGATTTATTGAGAGATACATATTATATTTAAGATCATTAAAAAGATATTTTCGAAAAATTAAGAAAATTATAGAAAATATGAATATTATTGAGAAATATTATTTAAGATTATCAAAAAAAGATGCGTCGCGATAAAATAAGAAAATTACGAAAAATGTAATGATTTTTATATGCAAGCAGTCTTTTAAAAAGCTAAGTGGCATTAAAAACCTGTCATCTTGTCCCTTATCTTATCTTGTCTTATCTTTATCTTATCTTATTTTGTCTCTCATTTTATTTTTTAGAAATATAATATATTAAATATAATAATATAATTTTATTTAATATATAATAATATATTTTATATAAATACAGAAGAGCAAAAACGGATGAGTTATTGGTCGGCTAAATATCTAAGTCTCATAACAAACTATTGATTCGCTCACCTCGCATCTCTTTCTTTTTTCTCGCGAACGTTATGTCAGATTCTAAGAAATTTGAAGGATAAATCTGAAGAATAAAAAGGGGAATTGAATTTCCGAAAAGAGACGTCATCCGTGAAAATATCCGCAGTGCAATACACTCACACACATACACACACATACATATATATATATATATACATGCAATATACGCAATTTTCATCTCGTTACCTTTTCTTCCCATATCCGACGTTATCAAGCTCGACGTGCCTGTAAGTCGCGTAAGTGGCCATGATAATCCTCGTCACGCGAAAAGAAAGGAATAAGAAAATAAAGAAGGACTTTTCCTCCTTCGAGAAATTCGCCGGGGGTTAAAAAAAGCACGAGTTTGTTCGCCGAAAAGTCTCGAATGATCTCACTCTGCAGCGAGGCGAATCTAATCTTGCGGATGCGTCGGCTCTCTCGCGACCCCTCGATGCCGCGAATTCGGGCGAGATACTGACAGCGCACGGAAGATCCAGCGAGTATATAATGCTCTTCCTCCACCTCTCTTCCTCCCTCTCTCCTTTTTCTTCTTTTCGAATGGGAGCTGTTGCGAATAGTCACTCCGACCGACTATCCTCACGGTATGCATTTCCATTCCCGCGCATCCGCGGACTAGGAGACGACGACGACGACGCCGACGTCGGCGTCGTGCATTCACCTCAATCAATACGCTCGGCGAACCAGACCGCCGAGTGGGAACGAGAGAGGGCGCGACGGAAGGGAGAAGAGAGCCGGCGTGTAGGTATTGCGCTCGTTGCACATGCACGCTGCTGCACGTGCGGAGATAATAAGTGCAGCGAAGGCCAGAAAATCCTGAAGAGAGAGAGAGAGGGCACGAAGTTGCAGATGGAGCAAGACGGAGGAAAATTGAAATTTTCCTTTTTTTCCGAAATTTTCATAGTTTATAGAGCAGAATTGCCAAGGTTTAGATATATCAGATTTTTTAAATTAGTTAGATAAAGATGGAGATAAAAATATGGAAATTCATCTTTCCATATTTTCAGATGAGATGAAAATTTTGTTTTAAATTTAGCTAGATAAAAGATGAAAGATAAAAGATATAATTATCTAGATAACTTCCAGATAATATGAGTAGTAATACTTCCAGAAAAGATGGAGATAAAATATGGAAATTCATCTTCCATGTTTTTAGATGAGATGAAAATTTTGTTTTAAATTTAGCTAGATAAAAGATATAATTATCTAGATACTTCCAGATAATATGAGTAGTAATACTTCCAGAAAGATGAGATAAAAATTATTTATCTTTCCATATTTTCAGATGAGATGAAAATTTTGTTTTAAATTTAGCTAGATAAAAGATGAAAGATAAAGATATAATTATCTAGATAACTTCCAGATAATATTATTTTAAGACTAATGTAAATTATAAAATTTTACGGTGCAATAATTGCTAGTGTTTATAATAAAAAAGTTTTAAATTATGTGAATAAAGATGAGATGAAAATATATAAATTTATCTAGATGAAATGAAGGTGATTTTGTTTTAAATTTAGCTAGATTTGGATTTAAATTTAGTTAGATAAAAGATAAAATTATATGGTGAAATTATCTAGATAACTTCCAGATCTAGATAATTTTCAGATTTGTAAGACTGCTTAATGGAAGTAAATTATAAAATTTTACGGTGCAATAATTGTCAGTGTTTAAGGAAAAAATTTTAAATTATGTAGATAAAGATGAGATGAAAATATGTAAATTTATTTAGATGAGAAGATGATTTTATTTAAATTTAGTTAGATTTTGATTTTTTATCTAGATGAAAGATAAAATTATATGAAAAATTTTGAAATTAGCTAGATAAAGGTGAGATGTATATGTAAATTTATCTTATATGAGATGAAGATTTTGTTTTAAATATATTTAGATAAAAGGTAAAATTATATGGCAAAATTATTTAGATATCTTCCAGGTAATATTATTTTAAGATACACTTATGTAAACGCAGTTTATATAATAAAATTTTACGGTGCTATAATTACGTATTTAGATGAAAAATTTTAAATTAGCTAGATAAAGATGAGATGAAAATATGTAATTTTATCTTAAATGAGAGGAGATGATTTTGTTTTAAATTTATCCAAATAAAGATAAAATTAAATGGCGAATTTATCTAGATAATTTCCAGGTAATATTATTTTTAAGACTACTTATGTAAACACAGTTATAAGAAATGTAAGTTATAAAAAGGATATCAAAATTATATTCATATTTTAAATTTGTAAGTTATACTACTTAAATATTTTTTATGTTCTAAAACTCGAAACCAAATTATTTGAACATTAATTTAATAAAGATAACACTTTTTTATCTAAGATACAGACATAAATAATATATATTTTTTTATCTATATAAGATAAGCCGACGCTAAAATTTCATGTAGATGATCATCTATATAATTTTATTTAAATAACAGTAAACTCTGATAATTGCACACTTAGATGCAATAATGATTGGGAAGATGAGTGATAGATTTCGTAAAAAGCGATGAGGATGTTTACGTTTAAAAATGTTTAAAAAACATTTAAATTATTTATAAAATTATAAATAATTTTAAAAAAATTATATATAAAATATATATTGTAGATAATAATTATATATAAAATTTGAAATTTTATATTATATTTATATAATTTAATTATTAATATAGTTATATCACAATGAATTAATGTTATGTTTTATTTTTTTCATTTTATATTCAGTAATTATATTTTATAAAAGGAAATTTAACGATATTCAAGAAGTCCATATTTTTATAGGAAATTGTTATAGTAATTTCTTTTTTATCGAGAATTCTTCTGTAGCAAATTACTTTCTTAAACAAAGTTATTCTTATTAAATAATATATTAAAAGTTTCTGATTTTAGATGAAAGAAAGTGATATCTTTATTAAATTATCTAGAATCATATTCAGATAATTTGGTTTCAAAGTCATAGCACATAAAAATACTTAAGTAAAACTTGAGCAATAAGAGGTAAAAATTTATAATAAAAATATGAATATATTCTTATATTCCTTTTATAATTTACATTTTCTTAATAAATGTGTTTATACAATATATATATAGCGATTTAAAAATAATATTATCTGGAAGTTAATAAGATAAATTGTTATATAATTTTATCTAGATATATTTAAAACAAAATCATCTTATCTAATTGTAAGATAAATTTACATATTTTCATCTCATCTTTATCTAGCTAATTATAAAATCATCTAAGCACAACATTGTTTATATTCACATGTCAAATGTTTTAATAATAAAGATATTTCAAAATTAGGGAAAAATTATATAAAATTATATTTAAAAAATTATATAAAATAATAAATTATAGTTTTATACGATCCTATTTACAATTAATAAATAAATTAACACAGTGATATACAACATTCTATAATTATATTTATCACAAAAATAAATATAAATAATCTTATAATTGTTACCATTTTTATTTTCTATTTAAAAATTTCTACTTTATAGAAAATAAATGTAACGCAAATAGATATGCATTTTATAATACATAAAAAATGAGTATATATTTTTATGATTGTCGTATTCTATATAGCACAACAACATTGCATAAACATTGTGAAATGTTGCAGCAATCTTGTTGCAAGGTTGCAGCAACGGGAAAATGTCCGCTTTCAGAAATATTGTTCTATAACATTGTAAAATAATGCAATAAAATATATATGTAATATTACTATTGGATTATTGGAAATGTGCCAAATACATGATCGAACTGAATGTTCTGTACCTAATATTTTTGTGTAAATTTTATTTTCATAATATTTCTGAAATGTTGCTGCAACATTGTTTAAACTGTATTGCAAATTTATGCCTATATAATATTTCTGCAATATTGCTATGCAATGTACAAATATTGCAACGTTGTTGCAATATTGCTGCAAACTTGTGTGCTGTATGATTGAAAAATTTTAACATATATGAAAAAATATGTATACATGGAACGTAAAATTTTACTTTAAATGACTAGTCTGTACTTACATGTTTTGTGCTGATGATTTTCGCCAAGAGAGTAAACTGCAAATGTGACGAAAGAGGAAACGCGAAAATATGGCTTCCGTATTATCTGTCTCACGAGGGTTTCAGTCTGCTACCCTTCCTTGAAGAGGATTGATTTTAGTTCGCCCTCGTCAAGGCGGGATGTCTTTTAGGAGATTTTTTTTCGGTTCTAAGCGTTTTTTTTTTTGCAATCGAGTGATTAAATCGTCATCGACCCTTCGCGACGGATGATAATAAACGCATCGAGTTTCCGCCAGCGACAACCTAACTTAACCTGACGATTCACTCTGGTAATTTTATCATGCTTCGATAAACGCGCATCCGAATTTAATGGACCGAATTTTACACGCATGTCAGGCCAAATTGTACGGAATTGTTCGAATTTTGACGCTTCGTGAGCAGATTTACATTCAAAACGGGATCTAAAGTTTCACACTGCAATAATTAAAAGAAAAATGTTGAAAAAGTCAAAATATGTTAATTTTTTGGAAATATTGACAAATTATAAATTCATATAAAAATGACAAAAATTCAATTAACATGACATTTGTCTAAATGAGTAAATATATCGAATAATGTTGTGCGACGTAGAAAAAAAAATTTTATTTCAACTTTGTTATATATTTGAACAAATTATTAATTTTATTATTCTCTTTTTATTTTTTCTCACAATATTATACATATAATATATAATTATTTCTATTACATATTTTATCTTATTGAATTAATTTCATAAAGTAAATAGAGATTGTATTATCAGAACTATGTATATATAATAATATATGAAGTATTGCTATAAAAAACTGTGGACAATTAATTTTTAAATTAAATATTTTATTTGGTAAAATTAAATATTTTAAATTTCAAGTCAGGCTTATTAACTATAAAACTCTTATTACACCCCAGTAAGCAAGAAATATTTAATCAACATTTTATAATGTTGATTTTATATAAATTTTCTAAACGTTATGATATAATGTTTTATATAAATATATGTTTAAAATATTATTAATAAATATTCTAAAAAAATATTTTAACTGATGTTTTATAAATGTTTTAAAAATATTATTTAATAACATATATTGCTTAAAATATTAATAAAATATTTTAAAAAACGTTAATTTCAACATTACCGAAACCTCTAAATCGATGTCAAAGTTTGTTCAGATTGATGTTGCATACAATGTTAAAAACTATATACTTGCCAACAAAAATAACGTTGTAGCAATGATTTTTTGCTTACTGGGACGTCATGGAATATGTCGACCGAAAGGATCAGTAAAAATTTGATCACAAACCAAAGAGTGAATATTAAATTTTGCATGCAACTTGAAAGAAACGTGAATGTAGGAAAAAATTTATCAGGATGATAATCTATCGTGTAAATACATAAGTTTTTGAGTGATTTGGGAGATTTAAAAAGACGTCCAAAACCAACTTTGACACTAGATCTCGTTAAAAAAGTGTGCAAATTACAGAAAAACGATGTGAATGTGACTGTGAAAATTGAAAATGTTAGTGGAAGAATTCGACGTCTTTAAAGATACAATACATTAAAAATTTCTATGAACTTAAAGAACTTAAGGAAAAATTAG